GCTTTCACTTGGTAAAGATCACACATAAATCTGTACAACTTTCCTCTATTTGTGAATCACTCTTGAGAGACTAACATTGGGGAAACATGGCCTAAGGTAAAACAGACTGATAAAAAGTTTTTGCTGCCACTGAGTTTTATTTAGAGGTAAGATGCTTTAAAATTTCTAACAATAGGCTGTCACTTCCCATGACCAGGTCATCTCCCCAAAGCCCCACTGATGGACACCGAAGGCTTTTGGGACATTGTTTTGAATATTTTTTTCATTTTTTAGATTTAATTACTAAATTCATTTTGAATCTTACATTTAATGAAACTCTAACTCAACGTGGTAGTTTTCAAGTGCCCAGCCCATGTCTAAGCCTTTACAATTGCTATTCCCTGCTTGTCCCCCTCATTCACAACTTGTGGTGTGAAAGAGTATAAACTGAATTGTTTTATTTTTAGGCTAGTTATGTTCTACAGTTACCCCTTCCACACCTATGCCTCCACTTCCTAGAGCAGGTCATTCCCTTGGCTCTGCACTCTGTTCACCGACTGCCTAGAGAAGGCTTCCAGAAGATCTAAAAATAACCACGTGGCCCTCTCCAGTGTCCCCTCAGCACCCCTCTCTCACACCTGGTGGCCTTCCTGGATTTCCTATCTCAGTTAAAGTTGTTGCCAGCTGCCACAGGCAGAAACATGAGATGATTCCCAAATCCCCACATCCAGTTATTTAGCGCAGTTGTGAATTCTCTCCTCACATTTCTCCGAGGCGCTCTCTCTTCCCCAACTGACATCGTGTTCAGTGGAATCCTGTGCTTGGTCAGATCTTACCTTAAATGTCACCTCTTACAGAGGGTTTCCTGACACCCTATTTTAAGATGTTGACTTACAGTTGCTGTTATATCACCTTTTTTTCCGGTTTAAATGTTATGAAACTTTTTAATGAGTCATTTACAATAATTCACTTATTTACTACTTGCTTTTCACTAGAATGTAGTACTATGATAGCAAGTCTTGCTTCTTTTGTGTTCGCTAGTGGCCCAGTGTCTCATTTCGAGGCTATGCAGTGGCCCTATAATCTTATAATGTTGGAAGAATGGATAAGAGAATGATACTGTTCTCTTACTATTTTTATTTGCTTCTATTTCCTTATTCATTTATTGCCCCCAAAACTACCACGTGGTTGAATTGTTTATCAAGCGCAGAGTTCTAATCATGATACTTTCCCTCAAAAAAAAAAAAAAAAAAAAAAAAAAAACCAAAACACTCTTAAGTAGAAAATGAGCATCCTTCAGTAGAGAACAAATTTGAATGCACTTTAAATGTGATTTTGAGTAGAGTTCAATGTGGTATACATCAGGTCAAAATATTAAAATTATAATTCATCCTAAATTCTGCATTAAAAAGAAAAATGGATGATAGAGTTTTGAAGCCCTGTCCTAAGACCTGACAGCATGTGTACCTAGGACACATGATGAGAGACGAAACACACACACACACACACACACACACACAGAGGAATTTGAACTGAATTAAAAATTTTAAAATCCAAATTTATGGGGTACATAAGGCTCTACTGAGAGGGAAATTAATAGCTTTGCTATTTATATAAAGAAAAAAGAACAATTTATAATTACTTAAGTTTCCACTCTAAGAAATTGAAAAGATATGTGGAGTAATGTCAAAATACGCAGAACAAAAGAAAATTTTAGAATTCAAGAGAAATTGATGAAACAGTAAAAGTAGATAAAATTAAAGATGGGTAAACAACAACAACAACAACAACAACAACAACAATAATAATAATAATAATAAAATACTCCAAGCTTTTTCTTGGAAGAAGTCAATCAAACTTACAAATCTTTATCTAGACTTAGGTAAAGAAGACAAGCCACCAAGATCACAGAGAAGAGGGCATCATTCACATCCTATGCTCATTAAAAGGCTAATAAATATTACAAATATGTTTCTGCCAGCAAATTTGACAATGAACAAAATAAATGAATTTATTTAAGAAAACTCATCAAAAAATGTGGAGCAATGGAGTAATCTGAATTACTCTACAGCTAATGGAAATAGTTAAGCTTGGTAATGGAAAACATTTTAGAAAAAGAGAACTTAGGGAGTTATGTCAGTGGTGTAGCAACTGCCTATCACGTACAAGATCATGAGTTCAATTCCCAGTAAAAAAGACCAGAACAAAATTACAGACCCATATGGCTTCACTAGTTAGGTCTAGAAAACATTTAGAAAAGAATTAAAGACACTTTGAAATGTTTAGAATGACCCAATGTTCCCACTAACTACAACTAGTACAGTATTACTCTGATACCAAAACCTTGTAAAGATTAAGAAGAAAAAATTTTATAGACTGGTATCTGTCATATATGTTTTAAAAGAACAGTCTAATTGGAATATAATGAATATACAAACAATTATGTACAATGAATGTAAATAATAATGGTTTTGATTATACTGAAACCATTGCCTAACCAAGTAATAAATATACCCCTCACTTCTGGGTGATATGTGTAGGTATGGGTGTGTAGATGTGCATGTGTATGTGCATGTTCATGTGTGTGTGCGCGTGTATGTGTGTGTGTGTGTGTGTGTGCATAGTAAGAAAACTGAACCACAAGTTCCACATTTAAAACAAATCACTCACAATCCAGGATTGTTGACTGTTGGACACAAAAACACATATGAAATGTTAGCAAACTGGAATCAGCAATTCTGTTATAAGGGGATAATAAATCACAACTAATTGGAGTGTGTGCCAGCGCTGTGAAGCTGATTCAACATTTAAAAAGTCAGTCAACATAATTCAACATGTTTATGAAAGAAAGCAAATTATGTTTATTTAAATAGATGCAGAAAATGCATTTGCCGTAATTTAATACTCTTCAGTCACAAAAGCTTTTAGCAAAACTCAGCAGGAGAAAGAAACTTTCTCCATCTCAGGCTGAGTGTGGACTGGAAATCTTAGCCATTGTCAAATGGGGGAGTGAGTGTGTGGCAGCCTTTTTGTTCAGATCAGAAATGAGGCAAAAATGTGCACTTTCACCCTTCTATTCAACTTTTCTCCTACAGTTCTTTGTAAGAGCCAAGTGGCAAGAAAATAGTAAAAGGCGTAAGCTTGGAAAGGAGTGAAACATTTTGCATAGCATGATCTATAGCCAGAAAAGCTTCAGGATCAACATGTGAGCCAGTTGAAACGATTTACCTTTTTATGACACAATGCATGTAACAAAAATTGAGTATGTTATACTAATATCAATATTAAAATATAAAATTCTACTTAGAATAGCATTCAAAAATGAAACATTTGAAGTTAAATTTTAGAAAATGTGTTCAAGACATATTTTGGAAAACTAGAAAGCATTGCATAGATTATTAAAGATGTCGTATATGGAGATTTTCTGCATTTGCGGTATGACAGTTTCAGTACTGCTAAGATGTAAGTCTCCCAAAATTGACCTCGTAATTCAAAATTATGCTCCTGTATGGTCCACTGACTTCTGAAAAAGAATACAGGGCAATCTGTGAGGATACAATATCTTTTCAAGAAAATGAAGGGGTATTTGCAAAATTTACTTGAATTAAGCATAGATGCAAACATAGACACCAGGACTGTAAGATCTTTAGGATGGATAATACCACAGAATTAATTTCGGTGAGTAATTTGCCATCAGTCCTATTCAGCACACTATCTCCTTTATTTTACTGAAAAGACATGCTCATACATTATCATAACTTCAATATCAGATCAGTTTTTGAAAAATCAAGATAGCTTAAGTACAAAAATAAGACAGTATGTATTCCACTATCAACACACTGAGATAGAAGTACTTATTAGGCAAAATAAAATAGACTTCTGGATACATCCTTCCCACTCCCTTTGTCACAGGGAACCTAACTTACGACCTCACACTTGCCAGGCAGACACTGTGCCACTGAACTATATCTCTGGCCCTGGATATATCCTTAATTAACTAATGGGATATCAATATCATTCTTTGGATTCAAGCAGTTTTATGTTTTCTGTAATGACTTCCTACATGGTACATAAGCCTTGGTGATGTCCAAAAGCAATTGATAAAACAAAAAAAAAAGTCCCACATTATTTCTTTAATTTGTACAGGATATGCAACTTAGAAAATTAAAAAAGAATACAGAAAATATTTTATAGCCCAACAGATTTAAATTAGGTTTCAATTATCATGCACTTTTTTTGTTTCTTTTTGCGTTAGTTTATTTGTTTGTTTTTGGGTTTGGGTTTTTTTTTTGGGGGGGGTTTGCATGAATGGCCAATGGCCCATTCAGAAATGTGAGAGGGACAAAATAATTATCCTGTCCAAGGGCACCCTGACTTTGGTACCTAATCCCAGCTGTCCTCGCCTAGTCCTTGAAGAGTGAAGAGGAAAAGTGATTTTTAAGCCTTAGGAGAGCAAGTGATTTAGGCCATAAAGAAAAGTTCCAAGGTTCTGTCAACTTATCTGAAGAGGAAGAAAAAAAAAGTCATTTCTACTGAGTCAAAGAGAAGAACCCCGTACTGGAAGAGATGAAATGATTCCAGAAGTTTGTGTCTTACATAGTGTCTCCAGATTACCCCGCAACTCTGCCTTGCTCCTTCCAAGGGACAAACCTTTCTGCAGAGCACAGTGGGCTGGGCTTCAGCTCCTGCTTTCACCCACTGGCCAGGGAGGAAGTGCCCTGCGTGGGCAGTGTCCAGCAGCCACCTTCCCAGGGCTGTCACCTGGGCTTTGGCAGCCTTGGCCCCCTGGATGCACACCGACAGCGGTAGGATTCCCAGGACTTTCTCAGGAGCTGAAGTTTCTAGCTGCATGGGTCTCCCACAAATAATGTTTTCCATGTGTGAGGAGTTCGCAGACCCCGAGGGGCTTGCATGTCCATGACTTCTTTAACTTGAAAGAAGTAGGTAGGTAAGGGATTGGCCTCGGCCTGACCGCGTCTGATCTGGAGCGAGGGCTTTCGCGGGGGACTCTTTAAAGGCCCTGGCCCTGGAAGGGGGCGTGGAGGAGTGTCCTCTTTCGGTCCCCACCCTGGGCCTGGCTGAGCGAGCCCGGAGGGCTGTCTCCTCCCCTTCCCGCAGCTGCTGGTCTCTCCGCTCTCAAGCCGGAGGTCGGGACGCCGCGGCCAGGACTCTTTGGGCTCCTGGAGGGGACTCGCCCGGCCACCGCGATGTCAGGAGCCGCCGGGGTCCTCCTGCTCCTGCTACTCTCAGGGGGCCTCGGGGGCGCTCAGAAGCAGCGGCCCCTGCAGCGGCGGCAGCCCCAGACGCACCAGCAAAGAGGTAGGTCGAGGCACGGGCTCTTGCAATCCAGGTCTGCGGCGCGCTGGGGAAGAGGTCCAGACTTGCAGGTTCAGGTCAGCTGCGAGCCAGCGCGACTTCGAGTCAAGGGACCAGAGCGCTGTGCGTTGTTCATTCTTTTCTGAGAGGGCTGCAATCCTGAGAGTTGATTTACAGAATCTTTCCAAGAGGCAAACTTTTTCAATATGGAAAAATAAAAGAGGAAAATAAAGTTTTCCCCAATTCAGCTCCATTTCTGAGTGAAAGCTTGGCTTCTCCACTCTGCCAATTTACTTGGAACTCTCTGGAAGGCATCACATGCATCTTTTCCTCCGCCTTAAATTGAAGGGAGTTTGTTCCCGGTTATCTAAATGGGATTTGTAAAGTAGTGAAGTGTGTGCACATTTTACTTTCAAGGCAATAAAATAAAAAATCCCCTAACCTCATTTTTTCATCTTTTCCAGACCCATGGCGCTCTCTCTGTCTCTGTCTCTCTCTCT